TTTGATGAAGAAGTATGGTTTGGGACCTTATACTATTTATCTCAATATTCTTCCCATCAAAGAAACCATTCATTCAATGAACCTTCATTAAATAGATTAATGTATCTTACACATTCATGATACATAATGCATCTTCTATATTAATGAATTCATTAGATAAGACTAATGTATCTTACATATTCATAATAGATACAATGCGCATCTCTAAGATTCATTCATAATGAATCCATCACATTCAATGTGCATCTCTAAGATTCATTCATAATGAATTTCATCACATTCAATGTGCATTAGCATTAGTCTTCTATAACATTGTATATATAGGTGCATATCAATTTAATTAGTCACCATCTAATTGATGTACATGTATCTTACTTAATGAGATGAATCTAGTATAATACGCAATAAGCCACATTAAGCCATATTTAGGAAAAATTCTTACATCAACGTTCATATTTTTAGCTCCTATAATTGGCCATCTGCAAACCTAATTTGACATGCTGCACATGCATAGAAAAAATAATACCCCGTAATTTTGGCACTCATATTAGCCATTTTTATTCTACCTTTAATGTAGATGAAAGTGATACTAGGGCTCGTTTAAGACATGTTATTTTAGTAATTTTTTAATTTTTTAACTAAAATAATGAGGTAAAAAAAATTAGTATGTTTGAGATGACTTTTTGACTTTTTATGAAAGGATGTGCAAAAAGTAGAGAGAGAAAGAAATCTTTTGACTTTTGATATAAGTTATTGACTTTTTAATTATTTTATTAATTTTTTAACTTTTAAGCTAAACAGTCACTTGGCAAACGAACCTAAACTACTTGCGAGAATTTTTTTTTTTTTTAATATGCTCTAGGATAATCATATTCCTTGTTATAGCCAATATGTCTGTACCTTGATGTTCGCTCTGCAATAATTTGCATATTAACATTGAAAATACTTCTTTTTTGATAGCTTGTCATATTCCAATGTTAAAAATAAACACTTAATGTCCCAATATTTAAGAATGAGCTGTTTTGAGAAGTAGGTTAAAAGTCAATTTTTTTAATTTTCTTTTTTCTTTGCAAAAAATATAAAAAAAGTATAGAAATGATGTTGACCAAAATACGTTAAAAGTCAAAAAATAACTTTTTACCCACTTATAAAAACAAGCCGTAATAAAAATCAATGAATATGCTTGAGGTTGAATTCAACTATTCCATATACACCGTTGATTTTCAAGCCATATATATTTTCGTGCGTACATAATTCAGGTGCGAAACTATGTTGGGGCCAAGGGGATTATAACCCCTAATTAATTTTTGAAAATTTTATAGTTATCTTTATGTTTATTTATTTTTTTTAGATAGGAATCTTTATGTTTATAAATATTTGTAAAATGTTAAAAGTGGGATAAGATAGTCTTCTAAGTTAGGAAAAGTATTTTAATATCTCTTTATTCTATTAGTATTTTAGAATAACCAAACCGTTTCACATGCTAATTCACGGCATTACTTTCATCTAGTTGATTTTTGATTATGCAAGGGGAACAAGCCACTTTTTTATTTTTAATAAATCAAAGACGTATGTGTATTTTGATTTACTATTATGTCAATAAATAAAATAGCTTAAAACGGTGGTTTAATCAATTATATACTGAGATTTAGGCCTCGTTTAAAAAGTGATCGATTTAGTCAAAAAATTAAAAATTATTAAAAAAATCAAAAAGCTAATAACTCATACAAAAAAGTCAAAGATTCTCTTTTCTCTCTACTTTTTATACATCTTTTCGTAAAAAGTCAAAAAGTCATCCCAAACAAATTAGTTTTTTTTATATCACATTTTAGTCAAAAAGTCAAAAATTACTAAAAAAATTTGTTTCCAAACGAGACCTTAAATTAATAGTTTAAAATTAACTTTATAAAAGAATGACTTGTCAGATTTTTAATTTTTATTTTTTCCTCATGAAATACTTATTTCACAACAATTCATGTAATAAATTATCTTTGATAAGTTGTGTACCAAAACTAACTCAATTTTTTTTTATGCGCACTTGGACTTTTCGTATACAAAATTTATTGTTCTGCCCTAGTCATATTTCAAGAGAGATCATTACAAAGTGCATGACAAAGTTTTAAAATTTGAATTATATGGTGACAAACAATGAACTAAATTCGTCACTTTGAAGTATATTAATGATTGAAATTTATATTTTTAATTATTGCATTAAAATTTTTAAATAAAAATATAATTTAAAGACAATAAAACAGATCATTGACACAAATGAAATAACACCATCTGCTAAAAATGATCAAAATGCCGAAAAAGTTTCATTTACATTGTTTTTACATTGAAATTATATGAACAATTTTTTTCATGGCAAATGAGGAGTTATTATATCAAGTTCATTATACCAACCTCATGTATATACATCTACTTCAGTAGTTCTCCATCCTTTACAATTTTATTTATTTTTAATTATATTCTTTATAGTTTTGCTTGCAGTTTGGATAAAGTATTGATGAAAATTGTATAAAGTCACGGGGGACACAGTTTATTGTATTAAAAAATATTTACATTAATGAATGATGATGTATAATATACTCTTTTACTTTTATTTTGAATTAATGAAAGTTCTAATAAACTCTATTTATGAAGAAATATGTAAAATAATCATTAGAATTGAGCATATTTTAAAGTCACGTCTGATTGACCATATGTCCCTATTTTTTTTTTTTTTTTTTTTTGATTGGAAATGGTATATATCATAGAATTATATCATAAAAAGTTATTTAGCAGATCTGATTTATTATATAGTTGTGTATACTTAATAAGATATATATATGATTATTTTATAAGAGAAAAAAGAAAAGAAAGAATGTGATTTCGTGTTAAAAAGACACCCCACATGTGACATAGACCATATTATTAAAAATAAAATAAAAAAAACCTTTATATGGGGCTCACTGATTCAACAGTTATATACTATGCGTTTTTGTTTATAAAAGGTTTATATATTTTTTGAAAATTCCTATCAAATTGATTGTTGTAATTTTTGCTTGTTATATGTGTAATAAAAACAATTTAAATTGAAAGTGATTCTATTTTTTCTTTTAGATTCTGCCACTCTATTTACTTTCGTTTTCAAAATAATTTTTCTAAATTTTTTTTTTAAAAAAAATCTAAAAAAATCTAAAAACTAATTTTAATGAAATATTTTTTATCATTTTCATAGGACTCTTTTTTTGGAGTGAAAGTAAGGAATTCATACGTATATTTTACCTTTTTATTATAAATTTATTAGTCATTTGAATGAAAAAGTAACGTTGTCACCCCTTTTACATTGAAATATATATTTTATCTTGTGTATTTTTGTGTCTTTATACCATCTGTATTATTTTTTGTCTCTTTAACCTTACTAGAAAATAGATCTATTGCAACTATGTCAAAACTTTGGGACTTGTTGTATTTTCTCAAAACCTCAAGGAAAGTGTAATTTATTCTATAATTAACTATTTTGGGACACTTATTAATCTCCTAAGGTGTACTCGTAGGAAAAATTGACAAAAATTTAGACGAAAAGATCAAATTGAAATTGGATTTAAAATGTAGGAATCAAATTAAAATTATAAACTAAAGTAAAATTTGAATCAAATTATAAAGATAAAAAAAGTGCTATCAACCATTAAAAAAAAAATTTCAAAATCAAACCTAGGTATATTTTTTATGAACTATCATTTATGCAAAACTAGAGATGGCAAAAAAGTTTATAAAAACTCTACATGATTATTATGCAAAATTTTTGATAACTTTTTTGAGAATTCCCAACATTTTTGCTATCATTTTAGAATAAAAGTTGTAGAAGGTGAAATTATCTCCATAAAAAAAACAAGATGACATGTCTTGCCTTTCTACTCTGCCAAGAGAAACCAAATGTTAGTGATCACTTCTGACCATGTTTGGTTGAGAGGATCCTCGGATGATCAAGTCAATATACTAATCGACTATAATAGAATATATAGTGTTAATTGAAAAGGAGGTTTTTTAATTACATATTACGTTTCTTATGTTTTACTTGCATGTCCTTTTATAGTTTCTTAGTTCAAATCTCGTTTGTTTGATCATCTTCCAATTGGATGGTTATGCCTGCGCTTGACTCTGGTCGATCAAGTTGTCAAGTTGCTTTTATTCTTGATTTTAGATTTTTGTCATATGAACAACCTGGATCGTGTCAAATGTTAGTGGCTAACTTGCCATGCATTATGTCCATAAGATCAATCCGATTGGATGACTTTGCCTTCTACTAAGTCCAACCTACGTTTCTTTAGTTTCTGACTTGTGTTTCTAGCCGTTAGATTGAGGTTTAATCCAATGTTCTTCCTTTGTTTTGTAGATCTGCCTTTTATAAGGATATCTCTATGCTTGTTTGCCTTTCATGCGCTTGGGCTTATGTCAACCTGTTGTTAGCTGTCCTCTATAGGTTTTAAGGAGTTGATTTGGGTTCATCCTTCTCTTTTTGGGCTAATGTCACTAGGTTTAGGGCGCAGGTTCATAATTTTTTCCCTCCACAAGAATAATTATAACCTATTGAAATTTTGAAAAAATAATTATATATTAATGAAAAAATTTATAATTTTAATTATTAATATTTGTAAAAATTATCACTGATTTATAATTATTTTTACAAAACACCACTTATTATTTCATATTTTCTAAAAACTACTTACAAATATATGTGAGAAAGTATGACCAGAATTAATGTAGAGACATGAAAAGTCAACACAATCAAGCGATCACAATCGTCCATCACTGAACTATTTGGCCATCAAAAGACTGATGGAAAAAATCAGATGAAAATTCTACAAATCTACGGCTGATACTTGCCATAAGAGAGAGAATGTGGGCCCAAGCACCATTCATGCATGCATGAAAGCAAGCACATACATGGAGCAGATGAGCGCATGAACTAATATAGCCATGGATTTTCCCAATAACTATATAAGGCACCAAATGAAGGACAAGCTATCTTTCCATTTATCAGATCAAATCCATCTCTCTCTCCCCATTTCCCATTTCCCCTTTTCCTTCTTCATTCTCTCTCTACTTCATATATTTCCATATCTTCAAACAAAAACTGGAAAAAAAAAAATTAAAAAAATTATACATATATATTGGACCATCTATGTTTATTAGATGTTTGGTGTATGTAAATTTATGTATTTTTGTGATTTGAATGTGAAAGAATTGGTAAGAATACAGAAAGAGAAAATTTTTGGGGGTTTGTGTTGAGGATTGTGAGCATGCCCTCAGTTCTTACTGTGCCTCCTCTTAGATCTTAGTGTTTTTGAAGATTTCACATCTGGGTTTTCTTTAATCAGGTGGGTTTTGTGAAAATCTCGATTTGGGTATTGAAATTTGTGATCTTGATAAGGGTTCTGGATTGATATTGTGGGTTGGGTTTTTTCCAGGGGCGTTGAATTCTGTGTGGGTTGATCGTGAAAGGATCTGATGTTTTTGGATTGAATTCGAGGATATCCAAGTTGTGCCTTGCTGGTTTGTGGGTTTTCTGGAATTCTTCGAAGAAAGGTATGGTTGTTGTTGTTTGATTGGTTTTAATCTGCATTTGTAATTGATGAGCTCGGATTGCTGCGATGGATTGGTAAAAGGTTGAATTTTGATGGGTCTTTGTATGTTGTAGATTGAATTAGCAAGAGAATTGGTGTTTGTTTGTAAAGATTTGAGTTTTTCTTTGTTTTTTTGAATTGGATAGTATTGATTTGCACTTGCACAATTTAGAATCGGGTTCAATGAAGTAATTATTCTTTTGTTGGTGTAGGAAAATGCAATCCGATCTTGGAAAGTTATTTATTGGTGGAATTTCTTGGGACACAAATGAAGATCGTTTGAAGGAGTATTTTAGTGGGTATGGGGAAGTTTTGGAAGCAGTAATTATGAAGGATCGGAGCACAGGGCGCGCCCGTGGTTTTGGTTTTGTTGTCTTTGCCGACCCGGTAGTTGCAGAGAGAGTCATTAAGGAGAAACACAACATTGATGGCAGGATGGTAAGTTGGTTTAGAATTTCTCAATTTATTGTTGATGCTATCTTCATACGAGAGTCCGGATTTGTCTAGTTTGGTTGTTTTTAGAATGTAGGCAATTTAAACTAAAATTGCTTATTGTCTTTTTATTCTTGTTTTTGCTGCTCTTCAATGATATTAGATTTTGTTGGCAATGTTTCTGTTTATTATGTTAGATTAAGATCAAATAGTCTTTGAGTTTGATGTGCACCATGGGTTCTCAATCTTCAGGTTGAGGCAAAAAAGGCTGTTCCAAGGGATGACCAAAGCACAATGAGTAGATGCAGCAGTAGTATTCAGGGGTCTCCCGGTCCAGGACGCACGAGGAAGATATTCGTTGGAGGTTTAGCTTCTACAGTCACCGAGAGCGACTTTAGAATGTATTTTGAGCAGTTTGGGACCATCACGGATGTCGTGGTGATGTATGATCACAACACCCAGAGACCAAGAGGCTTTGGATTCATCACCTATGATTCAGAGGATGCGGTGGACAAAGTGTTGCTTAAAACTTTCCATGAACTGAATGGTAAAATGGTTGAGGTCAAGCGTGCAGTCCCCAAAGAGTTGTCGCCAGGTCCTAGCCGAAGCCCACTTGGTGGATATAACTATGGTTTGAGTAGGATCAACAGCTTGCTCAATGGCTACACTCAAGGGTACTCTCCAAATACAGTTGGAGGCTATGGCCTTAGAATGGATGGTAGATTTAATCCGATCACTGGTGGTCGAAGTGGGTATGCTCCATTTGGTTCTGGTTATGGAATGGGTTTGAACTTCGAACCAGGGTTGAATCCAAATTTCGGGGGAAGTGCAAACTTAAATAGTAATCTGACCTATGGACGGGGATTGAACCCTTATTATGTTGGTAATTCAAATAGGTTTGCGAATCCTGTTGGGTATGATGGAGGGAATGGAGGAAACACTTCCTTTTTCAGCTCGGGGAATCGGAATTTGTGGGGGAATGGAGGACTTAATTACGGAACAAGCTCAGCAGGTTCGAGTGCCTTTGTAGGGTCTGGAGGTGGAAGCATTGGAGGCCCCTTTGCCAACAGTGGATTTAATTGGGGTTCTTCTCCAATTTCACCCCAAGGTGAAGCTAATGTTTCTAGCCAAGGTGGAAATCTTGGTTATGGAGGTGGTGATAATAGCTATGGTTTGGGCGGGGGAGTGTATGCAAGAAATGCTGCGACTAGTGCCCCCCCCTCATCATCGTATGCTGCATCAAATGGTGGTTATGATGGGGCTTTTGCTGATTTTTATGGTGGTAGTTCAGTTTACGGGGACCCTACTTGGCGTTCGACAAACTTTGAGAGAGAGGGATCTGCTTCGTTTGGTTATGGGCTTGGCAACGGAGAGTCCGATATACTGCCTCAAAGTCCTTCTGGTTTTGGCGGTGGTTATAGTATTACTAAGAGACAGACAAATAGAGGTAAGGGCAGCCACTAATAACTACAATATAGTGTCCTCTCATCAATCTTGATCGCATGTTTAGTTTTGTTATGGAGTGCAGACCTTTATTTTACATCACAGTTTCGCAAATTATACATTTTTACACAACATAGATATTTCCAGAACATGATGAAATCATCATTAAAAATATAAAGGAAAAGTTACAAACGCTGACACACCCGTTCTCACATTCGGTAAAAGCATTAGTGAGTGTTAGTAGCATTGTTGGAAGTATAATTGCTAGAGGTTTGTTTAATCTTGTGATATATGATTCAATCTAGAGGCTTTATTTTATTTAATTTTATTTAATTTTTTTTAATCCAAAAATAAAATAAAATAAAATAAAATCTTGTGATATATGATTTAGAGTCCCTTTTGGTTGTGGTGATGCTTATAAAGAATTTGAAAGAATGGTAAAATTTATGTCATGGACTCAGAGGTGCAAGCATCACTCCCACCCTATAGTTGTAGTCATTTGAAAGACTCAATATCAAATTTGTGGTGAAGTTTTATATCCAAAAGAACAATTATGTTCTAGGATATAGTTTCATTTGGTTGAAATTGTAAGCTAGACCTATGGTTTTGCTGGACATCCTGGACTGATTTATTGTAATGTAATGACGAGAATAAACCAATAGAAACTGTTGTGAACCTCATGGTTGAGGTGCGGATATTTATCAAAATAGGTGATTGGGAATAATAAAACAGTTCTCATAGAGGAAAGTTTGAAACTGCAGCTCTTATCCTTGATGTATTAAGCTTATGATACTTGATGCGTGCTCCTCCTGAAACTTTGATTATGCACTGTAGGAGCTTATTCTTGTCTTAACCTCAACCTTAAGTTGGGAGCCTAGGTTTTGTTTCGATGTCTTTTAATATGTGCAGTATCCCCTTGATAACTGTTAAAATAAATCTTATCAAAAAAAAAAAAAAAGAAAAAAAAAAAAAAAGAAAAAAACTTCCATACTTTTTTTTTTAAATGCTGCAACTGCAGAATTCACTTTATGTGTGTGTGTGTGTGTATACTGCTGTATGAATCAGTTCTGATTGAGAGATTGATAAAAAAGTGTTCACTCTCAATAGGGCCATTTGATAGAAATGACTGTGCAAGGAGGGGAAATCATGCTCAAACATTAGCTTTGATGGGATAAAAATAGAGAAAGACTGAAAATTTAGAAATATTCAAACTCTTTTACATCAGCTTCAACAAGTAATAAAACTGGTAAAATGGCTAAATTCAGAATGGTCTCAATACGAAAGACCTTAGAAATCAGGGTAGATGTTTTTTCCTCCCTCTATTTTTCTTATTATTTATTTTGGATACAGTATTACAGCTAGGGGTGAGCATGGTCCGGATTGGACCGGATTGGAGTAAAACTAGAACCAATCCGTTATCTACGGATCCTGAAAAATTGGAACCAATCCAATCCGTTTAAATCGTGGAACCAATCCGAACCAATCCATTTAAATACGGATTGGATCGGTTTAGGACCACGGATTTATATAATTAAATAACAAAAAAATATATATAACACTTTATTTCCATAAAAATATAAATATAGCACCATATTAGTTTCACAATGGCAATATGTCTTTTCATAATAGCGACAAACTGTTCTAAAATTTAAACAACCATAAAGAAACTAGTTCCATCATAAGTATTTAGACCATTACAAATTAACACTAAAAACTAGCAAACAAAAGTAATAAAAGAAGATACTATGCAAGTTTAGGTTTAGATTTAAGTTTTATATGAAATAAGAGAAGATACTATGCAGGAGGGTGTATAATAAAAATATAGACTATTTGTATACGGTCCGGATCGGTTCCAATCCGGAACCGTGGGATTCAATCCGGAACCAATCCATGAACTACGGATTTTTAATTTTTCAATCCGGAACCGAACCACGGATTCAAAAAACCAATCCAAACCTACTGGATTGGACTGGACTGGATCGGATTACGGATTTCACGGATTCCTTGCTCCGCCCTAATTACAGCAAGAGCATTAAACATAACTGTTGCTTTTTTCCAAGGAAACAAGTGGTGAGGCTTGAACCCTTAATTGGTGATTATTTAAGAATGTGCCTGGGCTTTGGGGGCTTGTGCTAGTGCGAGTGTGGGTGTGTGTCCAAGCATTAGACTTTCCTAAACCTAAACTTTAGGGTATTGGGATATGTGTATCCAAAAGTAATATTATGAGGACATATTTAGATCACTCCTATAAATTGTATATTTATATAATATTCTTAGATAAGCTGAAGCTTGAAAGTAAATAGTATTTAGGAAAAATATGAAATTTCTATCTCCCATCCATACGAGAGGCAAATATTTATTTACTAGCAAATGTGAACTTCTTCTTCCTTAAATATCATATAAACTAGATGTCCAAGTGTCTAATAAATTTGGTATTGCTATAGGACACATATTTCACACCCTTATCCTTGTCGTATATCCAGTGGACATAGGTACTGTGGGGGGATTAGAAGAGTCCATATAACACTAGTGCTAGGTCAGAGATATTGCATGCGGAGTAATATTAATAACCAAACCAAACTCAGCATTTTGTCTCAATAAAATGGTGTTGGCTACATGAATTATTTTTCATCATTCTACTTTATCCAGAGTTACATGCTTAGTCAGTTTAGGTCTTCACCTCACTTAGCATTTCTATTTATAGGATCATCTATGTTACATGTACTCTTTAATTTTGTTGAAGTGTCTGTGTCGACATGACACAACACGGGTGCAGGTACAGGATATGGATTGGTCCTTTAGACTTCTTAGTTTTTTTTTTTTTTAGGGAAAAAAAGTTGGAGTAAAATCATTGCATTCTATATTTTTATATTGCCAATACATTAAAATCATAGCAAAATTATTATATGTAATATGATATATCATGAATAAATTATACACATATATAATTTATATATTTCCAATTAGACGATGTATCGTCATAACTAATTTTTGGATTCTTTTTTGATGAGTCCATGTATCCTAAAATTTGGAGTTTGATGAGTTTGACCTGTAGACATATACACCCACACTTGTCGCCCACACTTGAACCCATGTAACATAGGTGGTCATATCGCTTTTTTTTTCTTTTTCTTTTTTATATATTCTTGCATCTATAGGTGTACTTTCTTTTTTGTGAAGGATAAATGCATCTATAGGTGTGCATTGTGCATGACCAAACCATCTTTATTACTTATCTCTCAACTTATCTTCAGTTGCTACTCCTACTATTTCACAAATATATTTAGTTTTAATTTTATCTTTTCTATTCTTATCACACATTCATCTAAGCATTCTCATCTCAATTGCACTCATTTTATGAATGTGTTGTTTCTTAGTTGCCTGACCTTTTGTCTAGTAAAGCATTGCTAGGCTTATAGCTGTTCTATAAAATTTCTTTTCAATTTTGTTGGTATTTTTTGATCACATAATATGCCAGATGCACTATTCCACATGATCCAGTCTACTTCAATTCTAAGGATCATATCATCTCCATGTCACCATCTGTATTAATAATAGAACCTTGGTAACGAAAATGTTCACTATTTCTTATCTCCTGATTTTCAATTCACTTTTTCATTATATCTACTTCTACTTTTACTAAAGTTAAATTCTAGTTTTATTTCTACTAATTTTAAACCCTTTGACTCGAGTGCTTATGTTCAGATTTCTAATTTTGCGTTAATTTCTTCCTTAGTTTCATCCACTAGAACAATATGCAAACTACATACACCATGGGACATTGTCCTAAATGGGTTTAGTTAATTCATACATAACTATGTAGAGTAATATTTTTAATGCAATGATAAAATGAAAATGATCAATGTAGTATGCTTCCACATGTTTTTAAGAAAAGGGTGGTCATATGTAATCATCTATTTGGTCATATTTGACATTCTGCTTTTGAACATCCTCATATCATTGCTAGGTGGGTGATTGCATGTCTCCTATTTTTTGTGCGAGCTAGTGGGATGTACCTCTCCACCAAGCTTGTTATCCACTTATCTATAAGGTAAAGGCTCAAGGCTTAGTTTTGCTTCCCTCTTTATGCGCACGTGTATGTTGCTCTTAAATATCAGAAGTCTGCCCTTCATTTCCATAGACACCCTCTGCCACAAACCTGATGAAGGCAAGCTCAATCCATGTCCCTGGTAAAACCACCTAGAGACTTTGATGGCAGGTTACTTGATTGCTTCATTGTCTATTATTTCAAACTACAAATTTTCTTTCTAGATTTAGTGTTTTTGTCAGCTGGATGTGACATGTTGAGTTGCCAACTCTGGTGGGGGTTAGAATAGGAAACATAAATAAGGATGGTGAACCTTGAAGTGATTGTCACAAGGAAAATTCTGAACATAGAGAATATTTTAGACATGACTAGCATATTGTAACGAATAGAGACACTGTAGAATATTTTAGATCGTTTAAGGTTGACTCAAGTCGGAATCTTTTCAACAAGTGGTCTAATAGCTTTCCATTATACATAATTGCAAAGGTCCTTTACTACAGAGAGAGAAGGTTTTACTTCTTGTCTGAAGTTAAGTTCCTAGTTGTCATTATATTAGGTAGCTATTATCAATATCAAATAAGAAATTTGTATGTTTGCCTCACATTGACTATAGACTTAATTACAATAGAAAATGCATTATAAAGTTCTTTCATACCTATCTCTCAAACTTTCAAATGATATTTAGTGGTGTAAGTTGAGTACATGTGCTTAGACTTTAAAGGGACTTCCCAACAACATATGCTGCTCAAAGTGTTTGTAATACCCTTTAGGGACGCAGGGAAGCATGAAGCGTACAAAGTTGGAACAATGATTTTGGGTCCATTGACGAATGCTAGTAACAAAACTTTCTTTGAACCTGTTGATTCACTATGAGTACTAGTAATAAAGGATCAAAATCTACATTGATTTCGCAAAATACTAAAGATTGGAAAGTGGAGAGAAATGTCTATAATTTTATTAATAATCCAAAGCACACTCTAAATATCCATGAGCCGTACAAGAAAGCAATAAAATAGGAAAACTAAATCAACACGAATCAAGAAAAATTCTATACTAAACCAAAACATTCCTAATCAACTATTAGTTCCAAAATAAATAAAATAAAATTTATAAATCCTAAAATCACTTATGCATCATCCTTCCCAACTTGAGAAAACCCGTATTCCAGTTTACATTGCTTGAAATAATTTGACAGGCTTGCACTTGTCTGCATTTATTTAAGATTAATTTTTCACATTAGAATTTTAAGGAAGAGCCTTCCAAAAGTAAAGGAAAAATTTTCCTTAACAAATTTGACATATCTTCATCTAGGCACAAAGCCCAAGGAGGTGAAGCTGGATATATAAATCCTTCAAAGAATTTCACTTTTAAGAAATTTCTCTTCTTAAAGTTCGTCTTGTTCCCATTACTTTGTAGGCTCATGATGCTGATGGTCACAGCCAATACCCCAATAAACCAAATTCACTTGATTCATAAAGTTTTTAAGGCCAACAACAACGAACATACCATCTCCATGTATAATTTTTGTCAAATTGGCAAGATTGTAAAATTCATATTAATGACTCTGCCAACGGACTGGGGCCTTTGCACAAATTCTAAATGCCACACAAGCATCTCACTATTTTTAATTTATTTTTAATTTTGGATAAATTACAAATATACCCCTTGAAGTTTGCTTAAAATACGAATTGTCCCATGTGATTTGGAAAATTACAAATACTTCATTGTCAGAATTTTTTATTTTACAGAATTAATTGAAAAAGTAAAATTTCTAATTGTTTACTTGTACAATAATACAATAATAAAATTATCTGAATTATTAATTGAAATAAAATTTTAACATTATTAAAAACTGTTAAGTAACTTGATGATTTATTAATAAAAGGACCTATTTGTTTTGAAATTAGAAACCTTAAGGGTCATAATCCACAGGGGATAATTTGTAATTTAAGTAAACCTCAGGAGGTGTGTTTGTAATTTACCCTTCAATTTTTTTTTTGCAATATTTTTCAAAAATTTTGTTTGGTGGCTTACTCCAATTCTTAATTGAATTTGGAATATAGTTGATTTAAGGCAAATCAACTATATCCTCTTCCATTTGAGGGTGTGGTTTAGTGATTCATTGTGAGGTTGATTTACAATGGTTAAGGCGATGATTTGCTATACTAGTGGGTCAATCACATCCTCTAACCATTGCATTGTTTTCTCCCAACGTGCATACCTTGTTGCTTTATTGCATGTGTGCACGTCTTCAATAGCGGCATGTCAATTACATGGTGCTCCTCTTGGCACTGTGATAAGGACTTGAGTGCCAAATCTGATACCAACTGATGCAGAGAAGCTTGAAGCGAACATAAGTTGGAACAACGATTTTGAGTCCGTTGATTTGTGCACGAGTGTTGACAACATTCACTGTGAATACGGAAAAATTACATCAAAATCTTTTGTTGATTTTGTAGAACACCAAAGAAATTGGAATATGAAGAGAAACGTCTTTTATTAATAATCCAAAACACACCTTGAATAGCCATAAGGCCTACAACTCTATTTTTAATAAACTAAAGTAAAACAAGAAACTAGTAAAATAGGAAAACTAAATCAACACGAAAGAAACCTGATAATTCTAGGCTATTCTATACTAAAACTTAATTACTCGCTTGCATTCATCTTTTTGTGATTCAAACTTTATTGGCAATTTTTGTAAAATAGCATGTATAGGAAGCTGACATTCATCATTCAGCATTCCTTATGAGTTGTGCTCTGGATACTACTATATGACTCTAATTAATTTAGTTATGTATTAATATGTGTTATTTTGAAATGTGTAGATGTATATATATTTTCGAAGGCATTATTTTCATTATGAAGTTATTTTCCTGCAGAAGAGTTGTAGTTGACTACTGTAGGTATCTAGATTGCCCTGGCTACATGGCAAGTCCCATGGTCACCATATCACCGCCATCTCAAGATCATCACCTTTATTTGGCAGTCCCTTCAAGGCACCATTGTGTCCTCAAATAGACTAGTTGGGGTTATATGTCTGGTTGAAGTGAGAGTAAATAGACTACCAAGTATGGTTGCTTGGCTCACTAGCGCACTTGGTGCCCTAAACGTGAGTTGGAGCACCAAGAGATTGAATCAAAGTATGAAGAGCCTCAAGGGATGGTCCACAACACTACTCAGCTGAGCCAAGCTCGCCCTCTCAATCATAATCCACTAGACAATGTCGTGGCTTAGCACCCCATGGGTCACCTAGACGAGCCCTTGCTTGACCATGGCCCTCCATACCTCATTCCCATAGGGTATGTCGAGGAGCAACCCAGGGCATTGCTCGGCTAGTGTGCCTTTGCTTGGTCGCTCACACTCGACAGCATAGCTTGACCCTATGGCTTGGCTATGTCTTCCCTATGTACTCACCCCTTGAGCTAGGACACTACTATAATTGCTACCGTAGCAATCACTTGGCACCCTAGGCTGGGAGTAGGGCTTAGTGTCACGGACTGAGAAATCCTGATGCTACCCTCACTAAAAAACATTGGAAGCCTAAGGAGATTGCTAGAACTCTCTAGAGAGGGCTAGAAGATGGGAGGCTAATAGAAGAACCTAGAACTCTCTAGAGCAGTCAAGAGGATAGTGGAACAAGAAAGCTCAGGGAGATTGTAGAACATGCTGGAAGCTTCTGGAACTCCCTGGAGCATTGTAGAAACTTGTACATAGTTAGAGGCACTTGTAGAATCTTCTAGACATGTACATACTAGAATAGTCCTAGAATACTCTAGCTAGGGGGAAGTGTCTAGAACACTCTCCATTAGTATAGTTCTAGAATATTCTTTGTAAGGCTATATAAAGGGGAGGGCTTCATTTGCCCAAACCACCCAAGTAGACCCAAGTACCCAAGCATTGTAAAGCATTCAAGCAATACAACATAAGCATTCCCCAAGAGCTCTCTAAGTTTCTCTAAAACTCTCGTGTGCAAACTTCTCTTAGTTCCCTTCCACAAACGGCTTACTTAGGTGCAAGCAAGGCGTGCTACAAGCATCTAAGGCCGCACAGTTGGCTTGGAAAGACTGAGGGTTGGTTCAGAAAATCCAAGGCCGTGACATTAGGCATTTACTGCTCAGGGTTGTTGGATGATTGTGACTTGGAAGCTAGGATCAAGAGCTCATCAAGGTTGCCTGACAGACTTTTTTAAGGAGCAACTCCTCCTTGATTGGTCTTAGAAAGAGGAGTGTTGACCTAACACTTGATACCTAGTAGAGAAGTTTTATACCTACCACCTACGTCATGCAATGTTACACTCTTTGAGGTATCATAGCTAACTTTGCGGCTCCCATGATACTACCTCCGAGGTTTGAATCATGGGATGCATAGGTATAGCTGCTACTTTGTCAGGCAAAGGAGAGTTGGCAACCTGTCCATATGTGAGCTGGTCTCCAACAGTCCTGGAGCCCATATAAGAAGCATCCATGCGTGTAAACAACCCACAACATCCGTTATATTCTTCCTCTACCAACAAAAGGTCTTCATCATCTTCACCCTTTGGCACTCTTAGATGTTGTGGTTCTCTCCTCTGCGTCCGGCGATTCCTGCCCATTGAAGTGCCCACCATATTTTCAGAGGTTCACAACTGATCACCTCACTACCAAATAACTACTACTACCTCATTAAGCTCATTGGCCTTGAGTTCATGTTAGAGGCAACCTAGACTGCAATGCCATGTTCTTCATAGCACTCTCTCTCTCTCTCTCTCTCTCCCCCTAATAGGATTTGGATGAAGTTATACTATTTGTAGCCACTTAAAAGCTGTTTGTTTATTGACAGAAAATATTGTAATGCCATGCTATGCCATTTTTGTTTGAAACATAATAGCTAGCTCTTATGAATATAGCTCATGACAATATTTCTTTGTTTTCATTTGTTGCAGGAATTGCTGGTTAGGTGGATATATCAGATATCAGTATGTTTTAGTAGGTGAAGAAATTTGGTGTAGCTGTTGAATTGTGAATTTTGCACACTCCCTCGTGAATATATCCTGGTTAAAAAAAAGTTGAAAGGAAATTCGTTATCTTATCTAGAGCTAACTGGAGTGTCTGTTTTGAAGAATTAAGTTTTAGAGATAGAAATTACATGAGATTTTGTGTTAAAAGGATTGAGTTTTGAGTTACCATCTTAGGGTTTATTTTTTTGGAATTTGAGTGAGATGTAAAATCAGCTAGCGGAATATATAGTCAGAAGAAATGTATCATGCATCTCTGGTGAGGCGGCGATACATACATGAAGGACAGACTACGATTTTGGAATTTTAATTTCTAGAATTCTATTTCCTGCTGTAATGTTCTCTGCAAAGTTGCGAGTTCTTATCAGCTAATCCTTGTTTTGTTTTTCTTGTTCCCTTCATTGGATTTTGTTCTTCCTCAGATTGTACTTCCAGAGGTTGTTGTGATTTAGTAGTGTGAATCATTTTGAGGGATACCCATCTAGGGTTCCCGGGAATAAGTTGCCACATTCTGATTCTTTTTCCATTGAACTTTCTTTCTTTACTACAAGTTTGACATGCGTGAAACGAACTGTGTAACGAATATTTGACATTATGATTTGTTTGGGAAATACAAACTCACCTAAACATTATATGTGACTGGTGTTTCCTAGTCTGATTTTCTTACTGGTTCATTAGCAGCTTTTGACTGTCACTGGTTGTTTGGTAGACTGACCAACAAATCCGAGAGCACTTTGCAAATTTAATGGATGGCAAGAGTTTTACCTTGGTTGTTTCATTTTATACAGCTTAAAACTTAAGTATAGGGGTGGCATTGACATTATTCTCGATCACCATTATAAACTGCATCTATTAGGGTAAGCTGTGTTGTCATGAAATCAATTTTATGGTTTGTTTGGTGCAACTTATTTGAGGCTGCTTGTGCTTTTTTCTCTTCAAAATCTGTCGGTATTTGTTGCAACTTATGCATACTGTAATTAGATAAAAATAGCTGAAAAAGTTTATTATGGGGAAATTGGTTTTGATTATCAACTTTTGGATTATAAAAAGCTACACCAAATGAGGCCATCATTATTGTTATCATCGTCTTTATCATCTAAATGTCGAATTTGTTATCGTCCTATTTTTTTCATACACAAGCCCTGTTCTAGAAAGAATCATGTGCACTAGGTCGTCTATTTGTTTTTTATTTTTATTTTATTTTTTTAATTTTTATGATTGATGTTTTACTTTCTATAGGAAAATACTCGTCAGCCTTCTATGTTGTAAAACTTTTCAAAGAAAATGACCAGTGTTTGAATCCTAATGGGGTTAGTTGAGTGACAAATTGAATTTGTGATGAGCGTTTCAGAAACGGTAGGTCATGAGTTCAAATTTGGAGTTGTAAAACATGGGATTGCTAATAATAAACTCTAGTATAACCTTTCACAATGAATGAAATGATATTTTCCAAATCTTTCCTTTTTCATGTTCAAAACTCCGGTTTTTATTTATTTATTTTTATTGAGTTGGAAATGAAGAACAGATTTGACCTTGTTGATCTCAATCTTTCATTGGGCAGATACTGATATTATTGCAGCAGTGTATCTCAGTTCTAAAAAATAACACATTTTTAAGATTTCAAAATTTTCTTTGACCAACATCATTTTCTACAGCCTGTCCCTCACGACCATTTCTAGGGTGATCCCAATGATCGTAATGATCGAAAGAAAACTTCTGCATCTAAAAAAAGTTACATGCATCAGATTTATTATTCATTTTTGGATACTTTTGTGATAAATATATTGAACTTTTCCATATAATGATTCCAGCATTCCTTTGTCCCAAAGAGGTGCCACAATAATCAACTAGTCTGGGCTGGGCCCTTGAGTTGAAGGGCCATCTGCTCTCTCTCTCTCTCTCTCTCTCTCACACACACACACACACTAGGCATGCTTAATTTCCGCCTCGATAGGCCATTTTAGTAACTTTTTAATTTTTTGGTTAAAATATGAGGTAAAAAAAAATTAATATGTTTGATATGACTTTTTGATTTTTTACAAAAAAATGTGTAAAAAATAAAGAAAAAATGAAAATTTTGACTTTTTAGTATAAGTTATAATTTTTTTTGATTTTTTTAGTAATTTTTTTGACTTTTAGACTAAAATGAACACTTGTCAAACGAGGCCTTAATCAAGCATAAGACACCAAAGTGCCACGATATCTTAACAGAGGGATTATTTTATGATCACATAGGACTTTCACAAAATGGGACATAGAATCTCATATTGTGTCCCATTATGTGAAAATCATCTGTGTACTTATTCATTATTTACTTGCTACACCCATTTGCCCTTTTCTACTTTATTTGATTCTTTTAATATGAAATGTAGTTGAAAAGCGAAAACAGGATTGAACATTGCCTTTCAAACCTTTCGGTTCCTCAGTAAGTTGGCTCGTGATCAATTCATCTCAGTTTTTTACAGGCTGTAAATCTTTCAGGCTTTCACTTTATGTAACACATAATTCAAGGGAAAACTAATGGGGTGAGCAATAAGCCGACAAACTGAGCGTCTTGATATCCTGCTTCTGTAAGTGTCCCTGGATGGCACCAGAAATTTTTTCCTTTGCTAGAAAATCCTGATGAGTTCTATAGCGCTGAATATCTTACTCTGCGTTGGAGAAGATGATTGTGCATGCACACACAGTTAGTGAGAAAAGAATCTATGTACTAACATGTTTGGAAGGATAGAAAATGGAGAGACAGATTGGAAGAGTTACTTAGAACCAAAAAGAAAGTATAGGACCCATTTATCTCGGGTTCTTTCTGTGGTTACTTCCGCAGCGAAGTGAAAGTAACTTACGAGAAAGGTTGCTTGGTTGGCGGATTGAGTTCAAATGATGAATGCCAATTCATTTCTTGTAGAGGAATCTGAGGCAATTACATGTATAAACTTTGCACTGGTCAATTTTTTTAGCAAACTGGAGAAGATGATTTAGCATTCTTTGATTCAAGCGCTAATATACGAGAATGCTAATTCAGAATTCTTAACACATGAGGGCATCGCTGAATGGTGGTTTGGGCAAGAGCACACATAGCTTGTTTGTGCTCTCCTATAGGCGGATACAAAAGCTTAATTGTGCTCTCTTATTGGAAAATACATTCTAATTTGTACTTACAATTATTGCTTGAAATGGAGATAAACAGATTAATAAAGTTCATTGCTGATCTGCAAGACACTTAAATATCTCACACATCTGCCATGTCCAGCCATAAATAGATGCATTGATTGTGGATGATACCAAGAATTCATGAGGTCTGTGACTTTTTTCTAAATTATCATTAAGATTCATTGCTGGTTTCATCTATAGATAAAACATTTATGTTTTTATATGACGAACTATTCCATAGAAAGATCAGACGCACACTACTGATCACTACTTTTATAGGAAGTTACCTGGGCACCAGGTAGGTCGCATAGAGAAACCATAGCACACGGCCTATGCATTTCAGCCAGGCTCAGCAAGCAAACACCGATCCCAAAACATATCCCTATACCGTTATTTAAAACCATGGATGGGACCCATGGGAGGGAAGGTCTCTTATTTGTCAAAATAACAACATTAGTTCACTAGTGGTCATCCAAGGGAAACAGTATGAAACCATGGAATAATGATGAATATCTCTATGATCAAGCTCAAATTATAACAATAAAGGTATACCTTGACAGAGAACGTGGCTTTGATCCAGAACGAGAACGAGAAGCAGACCTTGACCGAGATTTAGCAAGTGATCGATGCGCAGATTTGGCTTTCGGAGACTTGCTGAATGACAATTCAACAAAATTAGAAGGGAAAAAAAAAACACAAAATGGCAAAATATATATCCAAAAATTACATGATCCAACCTCCTGCTCCTGCTCCGACTCAAACTCCGGCTACGACTGTAGCTCCTGCCTCTCGAGTAAGAGCGACTACGACTGCGGCTTCTGGAATAGCTCCGGCTCCGACTTCGGCTTTGGCTTCGGCTACGGCTTCGGCTTGATTTATACTCCCTTACCTGTAGGTAAATTGGAATGCTAAACAGAATGCATATGGGGTATTAGCATTAAAATATTGAAGTAACAAGCTAAAGTCATACACGAACTATTGCTCGAGTAAAAGCATTCTGAAACTCAGAGTCATCAAGTTTCCTAATCTGCAGAATAGGAAACCAACAGGCTGCTTAGGCATATAAAGCAACTAATATGCGCTTTTCATAAATAATAATAATAATAAAATATAAATAAATAAATAAACTCACAAAAATTTATGTCATCCACTTGAACAAGTACAGAAACAAATTTACAACGAAATGGTGACTTACTGCATATTTCATGTCATCATAGTTTGTGTAATCCACAATCCCTGTTGTACCTGCAAGACAACCATAATAGATAATATTAGAATCCAGTTACAGAGATAAAACGAGAGACATACCAATTCTATAATTCTCTGAAGACAATGCAACAATTTGCAGAATAAACCATCAGGATAGCACAAACGGATTAGGTAGAAGTTCAAACTCAAATCATAAGATAGACCATTGTACATAGAATCAACCAAAAGTGTAGCTTAAATAAATTGTAGGAAGAAACAGAATCCCAAGATAGTAAAATAATATAGACAGTGTAATAATTCAGAATATGTTTAATTCATCTGAAAATCTAATTGTCTAATCTGCTTCAACTGCATACGGAGAAATCAATATATGTCCACACCATCCCCATGTCTTTTGCATTGCTAACAAGTTCACTTTGCACAATTAAAAATTTAAGCATTCATAGCTATCACTGCGATTTGAAACCCTAGGATGAATACTCTACAATGCATGTTGAGTTGAGCAAGAGTAGTATGACTAAGAAGGGCCTGAAGGGGCTCGAACCCGCAGAAGACCTTGACAGGGCGGTGCTCTAACCAATTGAACTACAATCGCAGGAAAACAAGGGATATAACAGAAAATTGGATTGTTTTTTTATTCCTATGTATCAGGTATTTCTGAAGGACAAGGGGTAATACCATCTCATGCAGATTGGCAAATTACTAGGCCGAGTTGGATTTGAACTGGCATAGACAACAAAACTTCGTAAGAAAATATCTTGAGTCAAATCTCTGGATCTAATTTGTACTTACAATTATTGCTTGAAATGGAGATAAACAGATTAATAAAGTTCATTGCTGATCTGCAGGACACTAAAATATCTCACACATCTGCCATGTCCAGCCATAAATAGATGCATTGATTGTGGATGATACCAAGAAGTCATGAGGTCTGTGACTTTTTTCTAAACTATCATTGCTGGTTTCATCTATAGATAAAACATTTATGTTTTTATATGACGAACTATTCCATAGAAAGATCAGACGCACACTACTGATCACTACTTTTATAGGAAGTTACCTGGGCACCAGGTAGGTCGCATAGAGAAACCATAGCACACGGCCTATGCATTTCAGCCAGGCTCAGCAAGCAAACACCAATCCCAAAACATATCCCTATACCGTTATTTAAAACCATGGATGGGACCCATGGGAGGGAAGGTCTCTTATTTGTCAAAATAACAACATTAGTTCACTAGTGGTCATCCAAGGGAAACAGTATGAAACCATGGAATAATGATGAATATCTCTATGATCAAGCTCAAATTATAACAATAAAGGTATACCTTGACAGAGAACGTGGCTTTGATCCAGAACGAGAACGAGAAGCAGACCTTGACCGAGATTTAGCAAGTGATCGATGCGCAGATTTGGCTTTCGGAGACTTGCTGAATGACAATTCAACAAAATTAGAAGGGAAAAAAAAAACACAAAATGGCAAAATATATATCCAAAAATTACATGATCCAACCTCCTGCTCCTGCTCCGACTCAAACTCCGGCTACGACTGTAGCTCCTGCCTCTCGAGTAAGAGTGACTACGACTGCGGCTTCTGGAATAGCTACGGCTCCGACTTTGGCTTTGGCTTCGGCTTGATTTATACTCCCTTACCTGTAGGTAAATTGGAATGCTAAACAGAATGCATATGGGGTATTAGCATTAAAATATTGAAGTAACAAGCTAAAGTCATACACGAACTATTGCTCGAGTAAAAGCATTCTGAAACTCAGAGTCATCAAGTTTCCTAATCTGCAGAATAGGAAACCAACAGGCTGCTTAGGCATATAAAGCAACTAATATGCGCTTTTCATAAATAATAATAATAATAAAATATAAATAAATAAATAAACTCACAAAAATTTATGTCATCCACTTGAACAAGTACAGAAACAAATTTACAACGAAATGGTGACTTACTGCATATTTCATGTCATCATAGTTTGTGTAATCCACAATCCCTGTTGCACCTGCAAGACAACCATAATAGATAATATTAGAATCCAGTTACAGAGATAAAACGAGAGACATACCAATTCTATAATTCTCTGAAGACAATGCAACAATTTGCAGAATAAACCATCAGAATAGCACAAACGGATTAGGTAGAAGTCCAAACACAAATCATAAGATACACCATTGTACATAGAATCAGCAAAAGTGTAGCTTAAATAAATTGTAGGAAGAAACAGAATCCCAAGATAGTAAAATAATATAGACAGTGTAATAATTCAGAATATGTTTAATTCATTTGAAAATCTAGTTGTCAGATCTGCTTCAACCGCATACGGAGAAATCAATATATGTCCACACCATCCCCATGTCTTTTGCATTGCTAACAAGTTCACTTTGCACAATTAAAAATTTAAGCATTCATAGCTATCACTGCGATTTGAAACCCTAGGATGAATACTCTACAATGCATGTTGAGTTGAGCAAGAGTAGTATGACTAAGAAGGGCCTGAAGGGGCTCGAACCCGCAGAAGACCTTGACAGGGCGGTGCTCTAACCAATTGAACTACAATCACAGGAAAACAAGGGATATAACAGAAAATTGGATTGTTTTTTTATTCCTATGTATCAGGTATTTCTGAAGGACAAGGGGTAATACCATCTCATGGTAGATTGGCAAATTACTAGGCCGAGTTGGATTTGAACTGGCATAGACAACAAAACTTCGTAAGAAAATATCTTGAGTCAAATCTCTGGATCTAATTTGTACTTACAATTATTGCTTGAAATGGAGATAAACAGATTAATAGAGTTCATTGCTGATCTGCAGGACACTAAAATATCTCACACATCTGCCATGTCCAGCCATAAATAGATGCATTGATTGTGGATGATACCAAGAAGTCATGAGGTCTGTGACTTTTTTCTAAACTATCATTGCTGGTTTCATCTATAGATAAAACATTTATGTTTTTATATGACGAACTATTCCATAGAAAGATCAGACGCACACTACTGATCACTACTTTTATAGGAAGTTACCTGGGCACCAGGTAGGTCGCACAGAGAAACCATAGCACACGACCTATGCATTTCAGCCAGGCTCAGCAAGCAAACACCGATCCCAAAACATATCCCTATACCGTTATTTAAAACCATGGATGGGACCCATGGGAGGGAAGGTCTCTTATTTATCAAAATTCTCATGACAAACCACAATAGTTATTACGGGCATATCGACCTAAGTCTAATTCAACCTGCCCCCATCCTGAAATGACTATCTCAAGCCAAATTACGTTGTACATGAACTCTATTCCATTACAAGAACAAGAAGCAAGACACAATAGTTAATTCAACCCATACCTTTCCGTGCACTATGTTGTATGAACTGGCAGACACATTAACCCAGGAAGAAAGTTCAGATATGATAAGAAGTTGGTTAAATATGTACAAGCCCCACATCCATGCCAGCAATGTGATCAACATAATCAGTTGAATCCAACCACTTCCCAACTGACTTGTCAATAAATTAAAAATAATAATAATAACACCAATATCAAGTCGAACTTTAGAAACCTACACATAAATGACACTTCCTACATAATATATAAAATGGTTGATATTCCATAAAGTTGACAATGACAATCTATGAAGCACGGATACTTCAAAATAAGCACGTAGTGGTGTTGGACATAGGGACATGCCGGGGACACGCCAAATGCGTGTCCCTTTAAATATTTTTTTTTTGAAGGGAACACAGTAGAGCCACATTGGGGGCACAGGGATGCACCAAATGGAGTGTCCCTTTATTTTTATTTTTTTATTTTTACAGGGGACACGGCGGGGACACGCGTGTTCAAATATGGATAATCTATTAATTTGTTTGAATGTAATGGTTTATATATATATTGAATTAATGCTAATTTTTATTAATTTTGATTATTTGGTAACATAATATTAATCTACATAGCAAATATATATAATAAAAACAATAATAATTTGCCATGTCCCCCGCCGTGTTAGTATCCCCATTTTTTTGAAATCACCGTGTCAGCATCCGTGTCAGTGTCAGTGTCACTGCCAGTGTAGATGACAATCATAATAAATTCTACTCCAAATCCTTCCAAAAAATATTCCAAATCTAAGGACAAGTTAAGGGTTAAAGCATATCAAAATCATGGCAATTCTAATTCCTTTGTTGACAAACCTACAGTGACCATTAAACATCAGTTGTACAGATTACAGCTTTCACTAGCTCTTAGCCCAGTTTTCACTAGCTCTTAGCCCCAGTATATTGTTATTAAACTAAAAGTCATAACTCATAAGCCTAGCCTTTTATATTCCAAAGTTCAAAACCCAATCAATTAGAATCCCTCAACTTTGCATTTTCTTCTACTCATCACGATTTGGCTACCAGCAGCATGTTTAGAAACACACATAGAAGCATTTAAACCATGGAAAACAGAAAGATAAATCATATAATTTACTTAGGCCGTGATAGGGAACCCTATACATATGAACAAAGAAAAAGAAAACACATTTAAAGTTACATGAAGCTTAAGAATGATCTTTAACCGACAAAATCCAACTACTACAATGACCTACAATTACTTTCATAGATTAATTACCAGGCTACTTTAAATTTTCATCATAGCAACTCCTCAACAAATAATCCAACAAGTACATCTCAATGGTAGAGCAAATAACCTCTTGCTAACATATGAATATGAATATATATCATAAACAGGGAATTCTACAATTTAATTTGTTTGTCATCATACCACTTCCATCGCGAAAAACTTGGGAGAAGCACACATCCCCCGCTCGACGCATGTGATCCTGAATGAAAATGTGTGATATATAAATTTAGTAAATTGGGCATAGCATATATAGACTCTCCAAGGAAGGGTAGGAACAGAATGTGTGATTTTGTGCATGTATGGTCACGTAAGACCAGTTAAAGCTCCAGCTCACCTTAAGGTCTTGCCAAGAAGCAGAGCTAGGCAATCTGGAGACTAACACTGCACAAATGAGAAAAATGAGAATCAATTTGACGATAGAAGAGAAGATGCCTGACAAAATCACAGGTATGCATATATCAAATGAAATACAAACCGCAATATTCAGAGCATCTGGACACTCCACCATGGGGACCACGCCCACTGCTGTAACAACTGTAACGATCGATTGATGATGAATTTCCACGACCTCCATGTGCAAGCTCCACCTTTATAAACATCAAGAAAGCATATCAGTGTCACAATTACTAACAAGTAGTTGGATGCTACATAGAAATGCCTCATGTGTGACCAACCCGTAGCCGGTGCCCATCAAAATCATAACCATCGCGACCTCTAATAGCATCTTCAGCATCACGAGCCTCTTCAAACTGTAAGAAACATTTTTGGAAAATAGTGTTGGGTAGAGAATGACTAATAAAAGGAACACAAAACAGCCATAAACTCACCTCAACAAAAGCATAACCAGGGGGTCTTGGTGGGATTTTCAAATCAATATGGGCTATCGGTCCATACTGCAACATTAACCCAGTTAAATACATAAGGCCCACTATTTCACATAAAGCAAGATACAAAAGTCAATTCAACTCATCTGGCACCCTTAAACATCTTTCTCAATGTTAATTTCATATGTGAAATTTAACTCATGAATACACTTGTTTATATGCATAGATAGGTTGCAAATTCTGTAACACTGTTGGAGACACGCATATTACTGCATTTATATAATGCATGTTATTATATCAAAATCCCAAAAAGAAAAAACAAAAACATTTCATATTCACTTCAAGTTGCAATAGAATATAAACAAAAAGAGAGATATACTTTGTAAAAGAGATCTTCTACTTCCCGCTCACGAATGTCACCGGGAAGATTGCCAACATAGAGTGTTCTACTTGAGCGACTCATTGTTCCTGAAAAAACCAATATTAACAATGACAAGAATCAGAAGAAAATCACAACATAACCTAACCACAAACAAATAAAGAGAACAAAATGGTTATACCCAATTAACAAAATCACAAACAAGACAAAATTCAAGGGATAATTAAAAAAGAAATGAACAAAATAACACTGAAACCTTAATACAAAACCGTAATCTTGAAATGGCTATCACGATTATCCACATATTAGTGAAAATTGTTGAAAAAAATATTCAAATGACTCTCCACCTTGAGACCTTCGTTATATATACACAGACGACACTGACATCAGTGATGGCATGAACAAAGAATACGAGGTTTTTAACAGTGATAGATGTAAGACATTACCTTGGAAAGATTGAAGATCGCGCTGAGACAGGGTAGAGAATTTTCCAAGATTTATTTATTAGGGTCTCGAGAATTGGGGAGGGCAGCGTTTGGTTGGTAAATATTTTAGGGTGGGGATAGGGTGTTGTGTGTCGTATGTTATTATGTTGTACCGTGTACGTTTGAGTGGAAATCTAGTGGTTGAAATTGCATCTGGAGCCTATCTGAGAGTTGGCCTGTAACGGAAGTTACGTCAGCGTGTGGTGATCCATATAGCGAATGCTACGTGGTCCCTCTCATTTGTACTGGAGTTCGTATTTTTTATTATTTTTTTACAATTTTACTAATATTTGTTAGGGGTAGGCACGGATCGGTTGAGACTACAGAACATCCAATCCGTCATTCGTCTGTCAAATTGACGGATTAGAGAAAATCAATCCGCATCCGTCTGCCAATCCGGCAGATGTGAATTGAACGGATTGACAGTTTGGCGGATGGATGCGAATTAGTTTGGTGGTTTAAAATTTTATAAATTTTTAACGTAATTTAACTTGTGCACTTCCTCAAAAAAAAAAAAAGTATTATAGTCAATCACTTAAAAAAGTATTACAATCGCTGTATGCATCATCCAAAGAAAGAAAATTTGAAACTTTAGAATATCACAATCACTGCATGCCTCATCCACATATTATAATCACAGCATAATTCATCTACATAAAGTATTACAATCTGTGGTTCTTAAAATATAAAAACAATTCAAACCACCAAAACTATGAACAGAGCAATAGTAGATATTATATGTTTCTGTATTGTTACATCTATATATGCTTTTGAAAACAAAAACCAACCAACATATATTATATTTTCTATTTATTATTTTTAGAGTTAGATTTAAAAACCAAAAAATATAGATAAATAATATGTTTATTTTTTTTAATTCAAAAAATATATTCAAGTTGAAAACTTTTTTTCAACAGAATGTTTAAACTCTTTTTCAATTGAAAACACAAAGTCTTATAAATTACTAGGGGTGCTTGCGGTTTGGCGGTTCGGTTGCTGCCAAAGGAATCTCAAATCCGCCATCCGTCCTCCAAATTGGCAGATTGGAGAAAATCAATCCGCAACCATCCGCTCGTCATCACGCATCCGTCCAAAATGCGGCGAATCGGTTCGGTTCGGTCGGTTTTGGCGGATCGGTATATCCGCGGCTCACCCCTAATATTTTCGATTTGATCTCTCTAGAGGAAAATAAATAATATAATAGCACCTCCAATTGTAATTATTTTTTATTAAATTTAAGTAAAAATTTCATTTGATATCAAATATTTTAACAGAATATTTCAACTTTTATCAAAACATTGGTCGATCGAACAATGTAATTTTTTCACAAATTTTTACAAAAAGATAGTTATTGGGAGGGACATCCGGTGGTGAAAATATAATGGTTATAAACAGTGAATTGATGATAGCTCCCAGCCATCCTCAATTAAGTGAAAGATTTATTATATCTTCAATTTAATACTCATCTAGTAGGAAAAATAATAATTTTTTATTAAATTTAAATTTAATAAAAGAATTGATGATGCATTAGGGATGGTCTAATTTCCCTCCCCGCTATCAAAGGTGACAAATGAATGAATTTTGTCGGGTCAAAAAGATTATACATGTAAAGTAATCTAATCTAAATTTTTGTATTTAATAAATGGACTTAAACAGGTTAGATGAAATTGAATAAATAAATCTAACCATTTTATTTATTTCATATATATTTTTGTTTTTTTAACAAAAATAAATTTACTTATTGTTTCTTTTCTTTTTTTTTAAGATTTTTATCTCTCCATGAAACTCCTCTTAAGATCTCGACTGTAACCGATTCAGGAAGGGCTTTTTTATTTTTATATTTTTTAAAAAAAATTAATTTTTTTACTTTAAAAAGTTTTAAATTGGTGGTAGAGATGCTACCTATTTAGATGGGGTTTAAATACATATTCATGTCCAACCCATGCAAATTTAATTTTAATTAGATTGACAATGAGCAATTTGTTTAAGCCAATTTATTGATATGTCGTATTAATATAGGTTTTAAATAAATATAATTGAGTGGGCTTATGAGTTTATGAGATTAGAAATTTTAGTAAGACTGTAATTGATTCATGAATTTGATAAAGGATTTAAAAAGAGAAAATGTGTGTAAAATGTAATTATATTCTCAATTAAAATTTTTAATTTTCCACTTTGATCTTGAGAAGTAATAGCAAAGGGAAAGTCTATAGTACATTTTGTTCAAAAAATGTACGGTACATAGAAAATCAATGGCTAAGATTAAGCCATATTATTAAAAGTGACCTGCTAAACAGGTCACTTTTTATAGTTATGAGCCAAAATCATATTTCTTCATAACTATAATCAAATTGATCATAACTTAATTATAACCACATCTCATAACCAACACAATTTTATTCATAACTAATATCACATATTTCATAATCATAATCACATATCTCATAACCATTGATCACATA